AATTCTAAGTCCACAGAAGGATGGCACATACTTGCAACTCATTGGTGTGGGGAAGGTTCGTAATCTAAATCGTTCGTAAATACTATTTGATGGTAAGCAGGCTCGATGAGAATGTTCAATTGCTTACCTTATTTACACAATGATCATAGATATTGAACGTACTATCGAATAGAATACCATTGTTTCTGTTTTAATTACTACTTACTACGGCAAAAATCTTTATTTTTATCGTCTGAACGTGGATCACCTGGACGCCTATGAACCTGCAGAAAGGGAAAATTAATTCATATTTAAATCTTGACAACTATGATATATTCAACGCCTTGGACAACAATGCGAAGTTTAGAATAACAAATAACGGTAATCTAACTCCATTTTACTTAGAAACCAATAAATTACGACCGTTAAGATATTCTGTACCTGACAACGGCTAAACGGCTGCTTGTAGATATCTGTTATAAGTAGTCGCTGATAGATCAATATGTACCAGAAAGGTACAGTTATTGATTTATCGGCAACCTTCTCACGAATGGTGAATGTATTTTCAAAGAAGATTGTAGAACTTCCTAATAAAATGCAATTCAATTTAATAGAAATGTATAGGTCTTTATTTGAATGGAGAATATCTCACTGTCTAAAAATTATGTTTTTCGCTGTTCCAACTCCTGTATCAATTTAAATCGCGGTATATCATAACGCTTCATCCGCAACTCCGCCTGGGAAAGTCTTGAATTCTATCCAGAAGTCGCGCCAATCGCTTTATCAATATACATAGTATTGTTAAGTTTTTCATAGTTACTATGCCAATAATGATATGTAGTGTGTGTGAGTGTTAATGATAAAATAACTGTCGAAAAGTAGCAACATTTAGTAAATTCGTTTTAGCAGCATAATCTGAAGAACATTACAAACTTTCCTTACGTTTTTGTTCCTGAAAAATACACAGAGTTAGCTTATCATTGGTAGCTAGACACCTGTCATGACATAGACATTAAAAAACTCTCTTCATGACGTCATTAAAAACAAACTAAAAAAATACTAGACACCTCAGCTCAGCAATCACGCAGATGACTATGATATCAAAGATATAGACGAAATAAGTATAATTAACAAGCATAAATTAACAAGGCAACACATAATAAAAGTTTACAATGGTGAAAACAAAACAACATCGCGTAGGACACATTAAGGAGCTCACACACCTGTCTGCCAGCATATAATTACGAATACGTAAAATATACGGACACAAATATCGATGGACAAGTGTGAAGTGGTGTTTCTCAAAGACTTTCTAAAACCCGAAATAAACAGCACACCATAAAGAAGTGTGTGGTTTTTATAGAAAGAAGAAGAAGAAGAAGTGTAGGCTGATTTGATATTGTTAGGCTTAAGGGTACAGGATAATGCAGTAGTGTAATTCCCTGGTGATATGAAGCAACAACCTGAAGATGGCAACAAAGTGCCCGTACTCCTGATCACTCAAGCCGTTGCTATAAGTAGATTTGACTATGGAGCTAAAACGTAAACAGCATTTACTATTGCAATTAAAACATTGTTTGACAGAAGTGAAAACGATGAATGAAATGAATGAAGGACCTGAATTATGAATCCAGACTCTTTGCTGCTTGCTATGATCTGCACAGTCAACCTACTGATGAAGCAGGACGGCAATCAGCGTTCTTATTTTTTAAAAGTGAACAAAAAAAACATCTTATATTTTAATAATTTTTTGAATTGAAAAGTCAAAATAATTTATATTTGGCTTAGGAAAGCACCGAATAGCACCAACAAATAGAATAATCAGCTATAAAAGAATACTTTGAGAACCTCCGCAATATCGAACAGCAGGTGCGTAACCTGCGCACGAGTCGATCTCTCTTGACGTTATAAATACATTTAACGTTCTTGCACTAATTTGTTTCACTGACAAAATGTTTTATTTTACTATACATGACAGCCGTACGAAATAAATACTCTTTTGTATTATTTTATTCGGTTACGTTCAGCTATGTTTTTTTTTTGGTTTCCATTATTTTTCTACGCTTATCATTGGATGAAAGGAAATCGATAATTTGGTTTGGTTATTGATTGTTAGGATAACCCGTTATTTCAAAAGGCATTTTGTGGAATGCCTCGTTAGGTCCAATGACTGTTCTAGATATTCAAGCCATATTGTGATAGTTATCCGGGTGATACCTCGAAAAATGCTGTCATATACCTAATTTAAAAAAAAAACATTATTCTCCCAGCTTAGGCATGCTCATTCCAATATTTTGTTGGATTGCTTTTTCGCAGTAATCCGATTGATTTTAAAAATCATAGGTATTATAAAATCTTATGACATAACTTTTGTAATATTCTTAAAATTTTTAGGACACCCGAACCCGAAACATGCTTAGTAGTCTTCACTTACTACTTTAAGTAAAATAATATGTAGTATGCCAACAATTATTTTTTTGCTCGTGCATAATGAACTATGAGTGATGGCAAAGTTAATTATTTACACTTTCCAGCCTACAGTAACGACGACGTTCAAAAGTAACAGTAAAGAATAGCCTTTCACGGAATAAGAAAAAAAATATGAATGGTAACAAAAGGATATTTTCGCTATATCATCCCTTTGTCAACATCTTAAGACCATTCAATAAATATATCAACATTCTTTATTTTTCCGAAAAAAGTATCAACCGTGCCGAAATAGTATATTTTTGCCTTATTTATAGACTTTTTTACCAAAACCTTTTGCTTTTTTTAAATAGCGTCATGGTCGATTCAAGTAAATCTGATTCGATGTACCATCAGAAATGATTGAAGGAAAGTAAGCCTTATCACAAGGGTATAAAATTGTTGTCAAAGCCAAAGCAAAAACCATTGTTACTTTTCACACAATTCATATTCGATTTTTAAAATAATATTTCTTGTTATTTTAGGATACGGTTGCTTCGTCGGCCAGTATCGTGTGCAAACAAGGCATGGTAAATAAATAAAGGAATTTCTGTTGAACTTTGAATTTGGAAGTCGTTTTAACACCGAGGCTAGACGGCTAAGTTTTTTTATTAGACGTAACCAATTTTTTTTCAGCTACATGTGTTGTTTGCCACCTATGGAATTTCGTTTCATGCCTAATTTATTTTTGACACCAGGTACTTCTATCAATGTTGATACTTTTAGAATGTGATACTGGTAGATATTATACTATACATTAAATATTACAAATATTGTAAAGATACCTGCCGAATTTTGAAATTCTTCAATTTTATGTGTTTTAAAACAATGTCCAACTTTCGACTGACTGACTGAAATTAAGAATTGATTTTAATCACAAGTCTTGCGAGATACACCAAAATTATTTGTAAGAAATACAATAATTAACAAAAAAAAAAAATTGTGATACCTTTACTTTGAGTACGTATATCATCATGTTTTGCTGTATTTTACCAGATAATCGATAGAAGGAACTGTAAAAAGTTTTATCAAATCAGCAAAGGCTTTTCAACATACAAATGCATACTGAATGTCACTGCATAGTATAAAACAAAGTCGCTTTCTCCGTCCCTATACGCTACCTTTAAAACTGCACAACGCATTTTGATGCGGTTTTTTAATAGATAGAATGATTCAAGATGAAGTTTTATATGTAATTTGTATTTATAAAAACATTAATTTAATAGTGGAAATTTCTTTTTCAGCTTTAATAATAAATTAATTAATTTCTTTACTTAGTAGAAGGTACCTAGTATTAAGTAACTGAAAAACAAAAATTCTAGACTTCGTTCTCATAACAGAGGATTTTAAAACCAATAAACCTCATGTTCAAAGCCATATAGATTGCTGTATTTTAATATTTTAGAGCAAAGTAAAACATTTAACAGTAGGTATATCAATCAGCCTCACGTACTACCAAGTAGGTCGAAGTAAGTAGTCCGAACACCTTCCACAAAACACCTCATAAAACCATATAACAACATAAACTGTACCACCTAACGTTAAAGAGAAAACGTCACACAAACGCGAAATTCATGACTGCACAGAATGCACAGTAAATCGTTTAATTGCATCAAACGGGAACGAACCCACTGACCAACATAACAACCGCTATGCACACAAGGTAACGGAGTCGCAGTGACTCGATCATTTTACTTGACAGCTCTATTCTATTTTGTTTTTGAAGTAATGTAGGTAATGAGTTTGTAACTTTTATGTCGACCTCCTTTTTAAAAACCATCGAGAATTAAAAATCATTGTTTGTGTTTTTTTTATGAACTATAATGGATAAGAAACTCAATAGTGACTCTTGGAATCCGATACGAGTTTTCGCTATTTCTTAAGGTTCTTTTACTATAAGAACTCTTTTCAAAAGTTTATAATAAAGTCTCTATATTATGTATTAAAGAAGTCATTTATATGCTTGTATAAGTATTAAATCCAAACAATTTTTCTGTCACAAATCACTAGTAATTTTTCTCCGCTTAAAAATCCCAAACGCCTCGATATTTTTACCTACTGCATAAATAATGTCCAAAATTGTTATTTATTAACACATTCTTTTTCAAATCGTATTCACTGTCTAGATATGTGAATAAAATTAATTACTTCAGTGTAAACCAATACAAAACTCCAATTTATTTTCGTAAAATAGTTTTCTTTTGTACAGAACGTATTTTTCAACTGTCCAACAAGTCTAGCAGAGCATTTATCAATGAAAACTAATGATCATTCATTATCGACGTACCCGAAACAAACAAGGAAGCCCATTGAAAAGTTTTAATTGCATTTTTATCAATGGCCCTTATCGCAGACACACCGCCAAAGATAACGCGGGAAAACAATGCACCGGTCAAAGAAAAAACTTTTAACATCTTCGCGACCGTTCCACCTTCAATAAAAGACACCCATCTCTCTTATACATATCGATTAAATATGTGTGAGAAAGAGATGTAAAATACATGCAGTGTCACACCGACCCCCAGGTAAAGTTTCAATTCCATTTATTCGAACGCGAGCTTTGCGCGCGAATGCACGCGGTTGCGCGAGAGCCGTTCCATTTTTAAACATTTCGGCGGTTTTATTCGAAAATGGAAACGTTTTTATCAAGTGTTACTACTTTATAATTTTATTTTTTAATTTATAAGAACAGTGTGTTTAAAGGAGTTTCTAAGTGAATTTGGTGAAATGACAGTTGGTTACTTTTTTGTTCGCGGACCATCTTATTGTGCAATAGGGATTACTTTTTTGTACCGGAGCTGAGGATACGGTGAGTCGGGTTCCTATTCAATAAGACATTCATGTGGCAACTGTTACCTTTACATTGTATATTATATAAAAATCAAAAGCTCACATAAGTCGTGAGAGAAACCGTGTTATTTATCTGACAAAAATAAGTTTAAAAAATCTAATGTTTAGAAAATTTTGCATGGGAAGTTGATATTTTTATTATTTGCAATTTTTGCTGTCTATATCTTATAGATATCTTAGGTCACATCTGTAGATACGTTATTAAAGTAAACACATTAAATAATCAACTGTAAACGTTACAATATAGTCTGTGACAGAAACGTTTAGGAACTCTTTTCCCGCTAAAAACGAAACTTTTTGTCACTCTACCTTTAACTGAAAACTATAAAAAATACTAACATTTAAATCAATAAATACTAGATAGGTATCCGTGTTACACATTTTTTTATTAGATAAATGAAATATTTCATTGTCATATTAGCTTATGAATTAAAAGCGACTAATCCACCCACGTGATACCACCTAATTCTCCTTATATGTTGTAAGAACTGTTATCTAATTATGTACCAGCCATCTTATTAAACAACTTTTTGACTAGTCTGCCTTTTAAGCTTACATGTTTAAGTATAGGTATTTCGTTACTTCTACTTAGCACACATATTTCAAAATGTGTTTGGCCGAAAGGCTAAGACACTCGATTCCCAGGCATGAGGCCGTGGGTTCGAACCGAAAGTACCAATGAGAATTATTCCGAGTAATAAATACTTTCTAAGATATTTTAAACACCAATGACAAGGCATGGAAGAAAAATATTGTGAGGAATCCTCGAAAACAATTTTTAATATTTGAAATCGTGAATCCGCCTTTTATTTAGCAAGCAAGGAGGTGAATGCTCGAACAGTTTTTCGTGTAACAAGAGACATTTGATTGTGCACTTGTAGTCTGGTGATGACTTACTTATAGATATACATTTTTAACGCGTTACCATCAGATTAGGTTTTTATAATAAGGTTAATCAATGTTTGAACACGATTTGTGACTGAGCAAAATTCGGGTAATTCACTAGGAAAATTAACATCAAATATATTATTGCAATACATTTATGTGTAAGAAGAAAGAGAGAGAGGGAACTCTCTCTCTCTCCTAATTCTTCTTCTTCGTTCCTTTATCACTGCCATGATCTGCTTAGCAACACCTCTTTGGTCTAAGAGTAACCATGGAGTTTCTAGCTCGTTCTTCTAAATACGAATCCACAGATTGAAACGAAGAACTGGTTTCTCTGAAAAATCAATTGACGAACGTTTTTCAGAATAGTGTGTTGTGACGTTGTAGTTAAAATAAATGTTTTTAATTTTGTCTTTTACTTTGGTCTATAGAAGAGTTTTTATGCATCTTTCATTTGTTTCGAAACAGTGTTAAACTTTTGATCGATAGGTGCTCGAGATCTCGATTTTATCTTTCTTTTCCCTTTGAGATAAGATAAAAACGATATTTACATGTTTAACATGCATTTCGTCCAACTAACATAATTATAAATATGTAGACTAAATACTTCCATGTATGAAATAAGATATAATTATTAATTAAAGATTTTTATACGATAAATTGGCGGAAACATTTACCGAGACTTGTCCCTAACTACATACTTTAAATGCATCCGGTGTCACTTGTGTGTGCAATACAGATTTTATCTTATACCTCTTAATACCTTGTCTTGTATAAACTTTATAATGTTGTAAAGCGATATGTCTATCATTTTGTATATTATGTACACATAATAAAAATATTTTTTGTGTCATCCGGAGGCACGGTAGTGTTAACCGCCAAGATGTAAAAGAAATTACTGTCACACTTATTAAGTAGTTTGTATTAATAGATGCATTAAAAAAAGACGGGTAAGAGTAAATAATGTTTTTTTTTATTAATTTTCAGACAAAGTTTTCCTACGCCCGTTTGCCACAGCTCTTTAAATAATCTTAGAATGTATGTATGACTCGGAAAATCACTTTGGTACTTGTACAAGTTTCTCTTAAATACGATAAGCTGGTGCGGTGCAGGCAACGACGACATTGTATCCACACTTTTTAAAAATATGTAGTCGATTCCACCTCTTTTTCTTTTTTTACACTACAGTATAAATATTGATGATACATACAGCAAACTATTTTTATGTTAACATTATGTGCATAAATGTGTTTCAAATGGGTTATAAAAATTTAAATCGATTCGTTGTCAATCGTTTTTTGCTACACAAATATTGACTTTGTTAGAGGGTAGTCAAAGTTGCTTTTTGAATAGTAGTGTGGTGCAATATTCTCGTATGGAGTACATATATTATTAACATGTAGTAATGATGGGTTCGTCATAGTTAAATGATTTTGTATACATATGTACTCAGTATAGCCTGACCAGCATGAAAATTGACAAATTTAAATATGAAAAATGTAATGAGTTTTGTAGAAACATGTTTTCTATTGTTAATAATCAGCATAAAGAAGTGAGTTTATTTTCTTAAAGGGTCTTTGTAGTCAAAGCATTATGACAAAACCAAAAAGTATTGACTAGATATTAAAAATATATAACTCGTAAAGACTTGGATAATATGACTCACTAAGGCATTTTTTGCTTACAAGGAGGTTCCAATCACTAACTTGTTTTTGTCTCTATGGCAATGAAATAAACAATTTTTTATTTATTTATTTACATTTATTTAAGAAAGTATAAAAAAAGTCTCACCTCTTTTAAGCTGAAATTAGACATATCTGGCAGTTTTTTTTCTTAAGGGGTTTTTTTAGTCATTATCACAAAACTATAAAATATTTACTTGATATTAAAAATATCGACATTAAGTCAGTATTAAAAAAAAAAACTAACCTCCTTTGAATTGATATTAAACTTAAAATATCTTCCACCCTTACAACAACGACGCTTTACAATAATTTAATATATTATAACATTAAAAAACAAAACTGCTGACCGTATCAATTCCATAAATTGCAAAGCTAAATTCAAAAAGTCAAATACCTATAAGGACCCTTACACACTTAACTTCCCCATAATAAAACAAAAGATCATAACAAGTACTTCTCAAGCACTCCGGGTCAGTTAAGCCCTTAATTACAGTGCGAAAGAGATGTAAATATATCTCACTCCCTTGTTAGACAGAGAAGGAAAAGTAAATAGATTATAATAAAGCACCCTTGCGATCCAGCGGAGCGTACGCGCGGATTTTTTTGCACGAGTACAAACCTCTTTGGAGTTTTTTTTTGTATATTTAGTCTGTGAGAACTCGGCTTTTACAGTCTAGTGCATTCGTTCAGTAATGGATAACCATCACGCTATCATTTTTGTGGGAATTAAAGTTTTTATAAAGTTTATAATTTAGAACATTAATTAATGCGCTTATTTCATTACTTTCATGGTCTGCTACGGAAATGGATTGGATTGACTTATATTTTATAGACTTAATTCAGATAATCTATTTAACGGTTTTTGGATTCGTAATTAGAAAAATAATAATATTATAGACCTTGCAACAAACCTACCCTTTACAGTTGACTAAAGCACTGTTAGTTATGATTTGTATCTTATTAAATTAAAATGCAAATAAAATAATCACACATTACGCACAACAAATCAATCTTAATAGAAATAAACAATCACTTCCTTACCAACCCTATAATAATTCACTCGAATCAAAAAGATACACAACCTCCTTTCAAAATGTCATTTCAGAAAAAAAGTAAAAACAAATCATAGATCGCGAAACAAAAGACGAGTGGAACACCCGGAATGATTCCTTTAGTGTCAACCACGCCGTAAAATGTTTTTATTATCATTATAATTTATTTGTTTGACTATAAACGTGGAGTGCGCATTTAATTAAAAGACTCAAGGGGTTCAAGACAGACGGAAGATATTAGATTGATGTGGACCGGTATGTGGCGTGCCAGGATTAAAGCAGTTGAAATTCTATTATCTCTTTTTACACTTTCACTAGGCATTTATAACGGCCTTGTTGTAAAACTTAAATTTATAAAAAAAAACAAATGAAAACATGGCGACATTGAACTTTAGCTTTTCCCGCTCATTTTTATGTATCGAAATAAAAGTAGATTTTCAACCAGCTTAAATCTTAATATGACAATGGATTTTTGTACTCGTGGAATTTCTTAATTTACTTACGTAAAGAGAAAAATATTTTTGCCTTTACAGCCTCTCCTATTTTGAAATTAATAAATGCGCATTTTTTGTGAACAAAAAAATCTGACAAATGATGCAGTATATTCAGCTATCATTCTTCTATTATCCTCACAAGAATTAATAAGAAAAACAACAAAAAATATCATGATAAAATAAAATAAGTTTTTTTAAATAGGTATTTTTTTATTTATGAAATTCAAAGGTAAAACTGACAAGTCAGGAATAAGTCAACCCATTAGCAAACTTGTGTGTGGGACCTGGGACTACTTTTTTTTAAACCGTTCTCACGACAGGAAAAAGGTCGACGAACATACAGCCGATGAAAAAAAAGTTTGAATGTAAAATAGAAATTTATAATTGTAACAGTTCCGTACACTAAGTAAAGGGTTGCTTACAAGAATAAAACTAAATTAAAGGTACGGATAACTTTTTTTTTCGTTAATTGAGCAGTTGTTTAGCCCCCATTTTTTAAATGCATCCACTTTTTAGGTAAGTGAAAAAATAAATCTTGATATTGAACTATTTTTTTTAATATAATTAAATTCCATTGCATATTATTTCACGTATTACCTATATGTATTACCACTGCTTGTCATTAGAACTTTAGGTCTAAAGTCTTCTTGATCTACTTATAAATAAAAAATAAATTGCGGTTTGTCAGTCTAACTAAATCTCAAGTTCGGATGAACAGATTTCGCTGAGTTTAGACTTTAAATATGCGTGGCAACATAGGAAAAGTACAGAAAACATGAATAAATGCAAAATCAATCGTAATATCACCACCTTTATTATTTAATCCAAATCTTCTTTTTAGTT